TTGTTACTTGTCAATGTTAGGTTTCATAACCAAACCTATCTTTGTACTGCCTATGATTACAAGTATATTTACGATCATCGGTGTACTGATAGTTTGTTTTACCGCACCAAAATCACCAGGTATGTTCTTGTTGTTTTACATTCTTCGTGTTCAATACGATAAAAAAAACCACAGTTAATTCGGTTCTATTTCGCCAGTATTGTGAGTTTTGGTTAAAAAAAAATCAAATTGTGATAATATTTTATATCGAGGTGCTTGGAGTAAACCATCCAGCGAGGACGGAATTACAAATACTGCAACTGCTTCACTTTTTCATTTCAAATTAGTACTGACGAACGCGAACCAACTAAGATGATCATCACCAGTAGATCTGATACTTTGTCCATAAGTCGAACCTAGTGAAACTAGAAAATGACGAAAAAGGTACTGTTGTTTATAAGGAAACTTCATCAATTGTTATTTCCAATTCGAGCTCATATTCTACTCATGGGGGTAAGGTTCATAGAGTAGAGAAAAATTCCTAAACGATTAACCCCATTGTTGCTTTGTTTCAGAGGGACAGGCATAAAAATTTTTTCAAAAAAAGAGATGATTGTGTTTTCTAAAAAAGTTGTTTTTCCTATCACAATAAATGAACATTCTCACAAGTTGATTTATTACCAACTCAACTTACGTATGGCCGCTTGTTGCAGAAAAATCAACTTTACCATATTCAGTGTCCTACAGATGAAGGAGAGAAATTCATTGAATCGTCCCTTCTATTATTTTTGATAGTATTTTTTTCACATCTTTGAATGATAACAGCAGTTTATTTAGAATTTCTTTTTCTCTATCTCATCTATGTGTTCTTTTGGCATCATAGACATGTGAAACAATAAGAGAAAATATAAGTGATTCTTCATAGGGCGTAGCGAAGGTAAACATATTTTTGCTCTGTTCGAAGATGGAAGCAAGCAGATAATAATAAATAGAGATCTATAGGAAGGAGGCTGTAAGATGTGGCCATCACATATACAGTCGAGGAAAATTTCAATTATACCCTTTGATTTTTTTGTTTTTTATTACTATACGTTTTTATCTATTAGCCTACTATATATAAGAAGAAAGCCCAGAAGCCGCCGTATCTTTTAGTATATTTACATTGAACATCAAATGCAGTTAAGAGTATAAATAGTGTATTAGAAGAAAGAGAACCTTTTTTTAATTCCATGCCGTCCATAATGTTGTAACATTTTTTTATTTCGCATATATCTTGGCTTAGGTAAATGCTAAAACCTTGAATTTTCTTTTCGAAAGATGTACCGTGAAAAGCTCTACAAAAGCTATATGATCGAATTGCTTTTTACCTGTTCTGATGATTTTCTTATACTCAAAATGAACAACCTACATGGCGATGTCACTCCCCATCATACTGAAAATGTTGGAAGGCTTTTTTGTTCTGCATATATCTAGTCTTGAGAACATGATGGAATATTAAATTTGTTTTTAAAAGATGTGCTGTCGAAAGCTCTACAAAATTTGTATAGACCAAATCCTATAGCGAATCGAAAAAGCTCTCGAAATATTTTTTATATGATGGAAAGTGGCACTACCACCCGTAAGTTGTTGATTTTGAATATAAGAAAATCCATCAGAACAGATAAAATGGAATTCAACCATATAGCTTTTATAGAGCTTTTTACGGTGCATCTTTCGAGAAAAATTCAAGGTTTTATCATTTACCTAAGCCAAGATATATGCGAGATAAAAAAATGTTACAACATTATGGACACCCGGTTTTGGCAATAAAAAGAAATGTTCTTTTTCTTCTAATACACTTTTTATATTTTTAATTGCATTTGATGTTCAACGTAAATATACTAAAAAATGCAGTGCGTTCTGCGCTTTCTCCCTATATATAGTAGGTCAATAGATAAAAACGTATAGTAATAAAAAACAAAAAAAATCAAAGGATATAATGTCAATTTTCCTCAACTGTATATATATAGACATATTGATCTAATTATATCTTCTTTAGTTCCACTATCATGCCTGAATGCGTATACATCCTCTTATCCAGTGATTCATCATCTTCAATCAGTTGTGGGATGCAGGTGTGGATGCTATTGTAGGATAACAATGAAAAATATTCATAATGTAATTAGAGGATTGTTGCAATGCACCACTACTGGCATTGTTTTGATGTCGAAATGATTCGAAATTTTTGTCATTATAGTATATTTGTGGCTGATAACATGTCATCAAAGAATCTGTAAGATAGAGATGATAGTAGTTTTGATCATGTAGTAAGAGCCAGTCCGTAATCCTTATGTAAATCATAGTAGTTGCAATGTTTGTTGTTTCTCAGTCATTGTGCGGGTCTCCAACGAGTTCTCCAGTAAATGACAGAAAGTGCATGATGAATAATCTGAATAATGAATTTCGCGAGACTCGATGAGGTTCAAATAAAGAGCATTAGTACTCATGCAGATTTGGTTGTAATCATCCCACAATATTGATAAGAATATGATCAGAGTCATGTGAATCTGATACAATCTACTAGAGACTGTTGAATCAGAGTAACTGATCCATCTTTATTTCTTTGTCCTTCTGTTACCTAGTCGCAAAATGTCAACTCAACTTCAAACCAACGACTCCAAATCCAATTGATTATAAATCTGGTCCACGATCTACCGCCATCGGTGACTTCAACAATGATACTTGGCCAGATATTGCTATAGCTAATTATGCTGCTGACCATATAGCTGTATATTTTGGATATGGCGATAGGATAGCGGTAAGCCCAGCCACATATCCGACCGGTTCCGGCTCTGCTCCATACATGGTCGCCGTTAATGATTTTAACAACGATGATCGACTGGATATTGCAGTCGCAAACTTTGGCACAAACAACATTGGTATACTTCTTGGATCCGAAAATGGATCTTTTGCAAACCAAAAAACCTTTTCAACTGCCTCCTCTCGTCCTATTTGGATCCACGTAACTGATCTCAACAATGACACAGCATTAGATATTATCACCGCTAACCATGGCACACACAGTGTAAGTATTTTTTATGGATATGGAGATGGAAGCTTCTCAAAACCAAGCACATACTCTACGGGCTATGACTCTTTCCCGTTTGCGGTTGTCAGTGGTGATTTTAACAACGACCAACAGTTGGATCTTGCTATCGCCAACTATGGCACAAACAATATTGGTATACTACTTGGAACTAGTAACAGTACTTTCGCAAATCAAATCACGCTTTCAACTGGTCCTAGTTCCCATCCATACTCGATTGCTGTGGGTTATTTAAACGACGACAACATGCTAGATATCGCGGTCACCAACAATGGAAATAACAGTGTAGGTGTTTTTCTGGGTCACGACAATGGAACTTTTATGAGCCAAACGACATATTCCCTCAACGCTACTTCTCCATATTCTATTGGCATTGGTGACTTCAATAAGGACAATCGGATGGATTTAGTCGTCACCAATAATGATACTGACAATATTGCTGTGCTTCTCGGATATGACAACGGCACCTTTGTAAACCCGAAAATGTATTCAACTGGATCTTCTTCTTCGATCTACGTTACCATAGGTGATTTCAACAGAGACGATCGTTTAGATATTTTCGTTATCAATAATGACACGAACAGCATAGATATCCTACTTGGCTATGACGAGGGCTTTCCAATTCAAACTGAATATCCAACTGGCTCTCTTCCAATCTCTGTAGCTGTCGGTGATTTTAATAACGACACCGTATTGGACATCGCCGTTACTAATACTAATGAAAACACTGTAAGTATACTTCTCGGATATAGTAATGGCTCTTTTGCAAGACAAGTAAAATATTTCACTGGCACTAATCCATATTGTATGGCTGTTGGTGATTTTAATAACGACACTCGACTGGATATGATTGTCACTAATCTTCGGAGCCACACCGTAAGTGTATTTCTCGGATATGGTGATGGCTTTTTTGCGAATCAAACGACATATTCAACTGGTACGTTCCCATACTATTTAGCTGTAGATGATTTGAACAACGACACCCGATTGGATATCGTCGCCACTAATTATGATGACGGGACTGTAAGCGTACTTCTGGGATACGGTAATGGCTCTTTTGCAAATCGAATGGCATATTCAGCTGGCATTACTCCATACTATATAGCTATTGGTGATTTTAATAACGACACCCTATTGGACATCGTCGTTACTAATGTTGATAACAACACTGTAAGTGTGCTTCTGGGATATGGCAATGGCTCATTTGCAAATCGAGTAGCATATTCAACTGGCACTTATCCAAACCGTGTAGTTGTGGCTGATTTTAACAATGACACCTGTTTAGATATCGTCGTCACTAATAATTATGACAGCACGATAAGTGTACTTCTCGGATATGGTAATGGCGTTTTTGCAATGCAAAAGACATATTTAACTGGCGACAGGCCAACTGGTTTAGCTGTTGGCGATTTCAATAACGACGCCCGACTAGATATTGTTGTAAGTAATGGTGGACATAATACCATAGGTATATTTCTCGGATATAGTAATGGTTCTTTTACAAGTCAAAAGACATATCAAACCGGTGCTTATCCATACGCTTTAGCTGTTAGTGATTTTAACAACGATGCTCGCCCAGATATCGTCGTCACTAATTTTAATGATCACACTGTTAGTATTCTGCTCCGTTATGACAGAGGAGCTATGAAAAACGAAATTACATTTACGCCCAGTACTGGCGCCAATTTGAGAAGCGTCGCCGTTTCTGATTTCAATAACGATAGTCTATTGGATATCGTCGTTGCTAATTATGGTAGTAACAACCTAGGTGTCAGTCTTGGATATGGAAATGGCACATTTGAAAATGAAATGATACTCTCAACAGGATTAGAATCTCATCCTTACTCAATTGCAATTAATGACTTCAATAAAGATGGTCAAGTGGATATTGCAGTGGTCAATCGTGGTACTAAAAGTCTTAGTACATTTCTGGGAAAGGGAAACGGAACATTTGAAAGTCAAGCAAATTATAGCACTAGTTTCAATTTTCCTCCATTGGCTGTTGGTCTTGGTGATTTCAATAGTGATGGGCATTCGGAAATTGTTGTTGCATATGATGATACTGATAATTTGGATGTGTTTGTTATATATGACATCGGAGATTTTTCTCATCGAACGACATATTCAACTGACCCTTGGCCAACCTTTGTAGCTTTTGGTGATTTTAATAACGATACTCGACTGGATATCGTTCTCACAACTAGGTTTTACAATAATGTAATTATATATCTCGGATATGGTAATGGCTCTTTTGCAAATCGAATGACATATTTAGTTGGTAATGATCCATACTCTGTAGCTGTTGGTGATTTTAATAACGACGCCCGATCAGATATCGTCGTCAGTAATTATTTGGACAACACTGTAAGTGTACTTCTTGGATATGGCAATGGCTCGTTTGCAACACAAAAGACATTTTCAGCTGGCTATTATCCATATTGTGTAGCGATTGGTGATTTTAATAACGACAGTCGACTGGATATCGTTGTCGCTAATCTTGGTAGCGATTTCATAAGTTTACTTCTAGGATATGGCAATGGCTCTTTTGCAAGTCAAACGAACTATTCAACTGACTCTCGGTCATTCTCTGTAGCTGTTGGTGATTTTAATAATGACACCCGACTGGATATCGTGGTCGCTAATTTTGATAGCAATTCCATAAGTTTACTTCTTGGATATGGTAATGGCTCTTTTGCACGACAAGTGGAGTACTCCACTGGCACTGCACCAATATGTGTGGCTGTCGGTGATGTTAACAACGACAGCCGACTGGATATCGTCGTCACTAATCGTGATGACAACAGTGTAAGTGTACTTCTCGGATATGGTGATGGCTCTTTTGCAAATCAGACGACATATTCAACCGGTAATACGCCACTCAGAGTAGCAATTGGTGATTTAAATAATGATACTCGACCGGATATTGTTACTAATAATCATCGTGACAACACTGCAAGTGTGCTTCGAGGATATGGCAATGGCTTTTTTGCAAATCAAATGACATATTCAATTGGCACTACGCCATCCGACATAGCTCTTGGTGATTTGAATAACGACGGTCGACTGGATATTGTCTCCCCTAATTACAGCGGCGGAAGTGTAAGTGTACTGCTAGGATATGTCAAGCAAACTTTTGTAAAACAAACGACGCTCATAACTGGCAATGGGTCTCGACCAATGTCATTCGCCACTGGGCATTTTAACAGTGATAATCAACTGGATATAGCAGTCGTGAATTCGGGTGCTAACACTATGGCTATTTTTTTGGGATATGGCAATGAATCTTTCGCAAATCAAACGGTATTTTCAACTGGCTCTACTCCAGTGTCTATTGCTGTTGGTGATTTCAACAATGATACCATATTGGATATCGTCGTTGCTAATTATGACAATGACACCGTTGGAATATTTCTTGGATACGGTAATGGTTCTTTCTCAAGCCAAAAGATGTTTACGACGGGCTTCGCATCTTTACCTCGCATGGTGGCTGTTGGTGATTTTAACAACGACACTTTACTAGACATTATCGTCGCTAATTATGGCACCAACAATGTAGGTGTACTGCTTGGATATGGTAATGGTTCCTTCGCTGACGTAAAGGTTTTTTCGACCGATTATGGATCTCGTCCATTCTCGATTTCTGTTGATGATTTTAACAATGATGGAAAGCTAGATTTCGCAGTCGCTAACAAGGGTGCTGACAATTTAAAAATTTTCTTACAGACTTGTTAATATTGCAACTGCTAAGTTACGTTTTTTTTCTTCTATTCACTGCTTCTAACTTCTACTTAGTGCTACCAATATTTCTTGTAAGTTTTCTTTTTTACTATTTGTCTCTTGATTTATATATTCATATAAACTATGAGTGAGCGTTCAGAAGTGAAACAAAATGTGACGCATTCCCATCTTGTTCAAAAGGTTCCATGAGATAGTTCTGACTTCATATCTGCTGCATGTTAATTCATGAAAATAGAATACTCAAATAGTTAGTAAGATAAGTATGAGATGAAATGTGTTTGAATAGCTATCATGATTTAGATTTATGCGGATGTTATGTACAGAAAAGAGTGATTAGCAACGCAATGAAATAAGCAACAAGAAGAATATCGTTCATATACATATGAAACAAGAAAGAAAGTTTGTTTGTTTCTATTCAAAAGAAAAAAACGAATCAATCTTGAAATGAAATGAGATAGAAAAAAAGAAGAGTAATTGTACGAAAAATATTAAAATAAAAAAACTACCATGGTCTAGATTTTCTTTCGTCTATGAGAATCATGAGATCGCACATAATTCTATACAATTTTGAAAAAACATCAGAATCAGAATCTATTCTGTTATATGTTCACAAATGGAGTGTACTACAACTTAAGTCTCAGAGAGTAATTCGTCACTTGCACCAAATGTTTATTTAACTCGCTACCAGTGATTGACACCGGAAACAGACAAACTCACAAAGTATTCTCAATGGAACTCATCGTTCATCGCTTTCTCATTTATCGATTCAATAGAAGTTCTCTTAGAAAGTTTGATTAAAACGCAGATCTCAAGATTATAATTTCTAGGCAAAGTACTCTTTCGTTCAGCAACGCTGGTACAAGTCGTTCTATTGATGATTGATTTTGAATGCAGACGTGATAAATTTGCAGCAGTGATGGCGATAGTTGTCAATGTTGTCTCTTCACGACCGATCATCTTAAACTGCATGTAGTCGATGTATGCTGCATGAAATTGACTCTCAAATATCTTTATCATACATTCACTATTACGTTTTAATAGCCTAAATATTTTTCCCCTCTTTACGCGAATATGATCTACTGGCTAGATGAAAAGCAAATATAATATACATAATTTATCAAAAGATAAAAGAGATCTCAAACGAAAAAGATCAACTTGACCCATCATTAAAATGAATCGTAGCTCAAATAAGAATATTTCTGATTTGTCATATGAAAAATACCAGTGAACTTGGTAGAATCGAGCGCACCTAACACATAAAATTAATGACTTGAAGAAAAATATGTGTAAAACTTGGAAACTTGATTCAATTGAAAAGAAAAATTTTACTTTGAATATTCAACTATTTAAATTCAATTTCTATGGTCCCGTTCATATGATAAGATTCAAATCTTTCTACTTACTTCACATCTTGAAGTTGAAATCCAAAAGTCAAACTTCATATTGACATTTAACTTTCAAGTTATCGATACCATTTTAATCATTTTATTTGAGACGTTTTGTTATGAACTCATAACATCATCAATCAAAAAAGGAATGAAAATGAAATTACAAGACAAAAGAAAGAACAAATAGATAGATAGCACAAAGAAAGAGAATAGAACAAAAGAACAAAGACACTTATTAAAGGAAAATGTTTTCTTTTAATAAAATAAAATTCTTAATTTTTAATGCCCGCCAAAAATCTTGTGCTTTGTTCAGAATTAGAATATATTTAAGTTAAAGCTCTTCTGTGAGTATACTTGTTTTAATTTCTTTTGATTGTACCAATCCATAAGTAAGCTTTCTTTAATATTTCTTTTTAAGTCGCTAGATTCTGTAGCTAAGATATTCGTATTCCAATTATTACGATGATTAGCATTTAAACAATTTTCAGCTATTTTTGAATATTCTTTACCACCGAAAGTCTTCTTGTGTTCTTCTTTACGGACTTCAGCACCTCTTGTTGTCTGTCCTATATAATAACTATTGCAATCATAACATGAATAACCGTAGATTATTCTTTTATGAACAATATTATTATGATAAGTTCTCCTCAATAATGAGGATATACCATTTCCTGCTTTAAAGCCAACAATAATCTGTAATGTAGGAATGCTAATGATTTTTCTAATCTTACTGGCTAATACTAAAGAACATATACCGTAATAAGGTAAAGATATGAATATTTTTTTTATGTTTTGATTTTCTTTTTTATGTTTAATTCAATACTACGAATGGTCTTTTTTATAACATTAATCGGATATCCATTTTTAATGAATATATTTTTATAATATTCAAGTTCTTCCTTAAATAGTGCGTTCGTTGAACAAATCCTTTTGGCTCGAGTTATAAGACATTTAATCAGATTAATTTTATAAGAACATGGTCGATTGCTTGTCCATCTCATGTATAGTCCTGTGTCGGTTGGTTTTCTATAAACATATGTGATTAGTTCAGAATTTTTTCTTTCTACCGTAACATCTAGGAAAGGTAATTTGTTTTCAATTTGCATTTCTATAGTAAATTTAATTGAAGGTTCTAATTTATTCATGAATCTTAAAAATAATGCAATATCATTCTGTGCACTAGGGAATATCATAAAGATATCATCAACATAACGATAAAAGATAGATGGTTGTTTCCCTTTAAAGTTCTTTATATTATCTTCTAATTCAGTCATATATAAGTGTGTAAATATTGGGGCAACAGGACTTCCCATTGCAACACCATTTATTGGATCATAATGCTCATTATCAAATTTAAAATTTGTTCTTTTCGTGCAATAATATAATATTTCTCTTAAATTATCTTCATCAATTTTTAAGTTAGGGTGGAATGTTTTATTTTTTTTTATGGCGATATTTATAGCTTTTTCTAAAGGAACATCAGTAAATAACGATGAAACATCTAATGAGCACATAAGTCCTGGTGAGTTTTTATTATCTTTAATGATATTTGCAAAGTCACATGAATCTTTTACATATGATGGACACTGTGGTATACCGGGTTTTAGTAATGTGGCTAAATATTTTGCAGCATTATAATTATAAGAATTATAGCTTGAGATAATAGATCTAACTGGTAATCCAAGTTTATGTACTTTAATCAAAAAATACCCCTCAGGTGTTCTTGAGCCTGTGTTGAATCTCATCTGTTTATATTCATCAGAAGTAATTCTTTTATTTCTTTTAAGTTGTAATAAAAATTTTATAAATTCTTGTTCACGACTATCCGTTAAATTATGCTTTAATTTTCTAAAAGTTTTCGTATCATTTAATAGTTCTTTTGCTTTCATCAGATAGTCAGATTTATTCATTACTACTATCGTATTTCCTTTATCAACTTTTGATATTACTAATGAGTGTTCTTTTAATAGTGTTGAAATGGCATTTAATTCTTCAAAACTTAAATTAGGGATTTCTTTATCAATTTTATTTTTAAGTTTATTACCGAATTCAGGGTGTGGGGTGGGTGTGGATGGGTGTGGGGGTGTGGGGGTGGATTTGGATGTCGGTGACTCTGGTTCTTCTCTTCTTTTAGACCCACAGTCACACTCACACTCACACTCACACTCACACTCACACTCACACTCACACCCAAACCCCACCCACACCCACATCCCACCCGCTCATTCGTGTTCCTTTATATACCCTAAGAATGGAAACTTGCATGAAGTTTCGCGAATGTTTTAGAGAATTTAGAAAAGAAAACGCAAAAACTTCGTTGTCAATCTAATATTAAATATATTTCGTTTAACGAAATTCATATTTTCTTCATTAAATCGTTTTTCACGATAAATAAGCAGTGTGTGAGTGAATCATAGTTGCTCATGGTCTATATGTTGATAGGGCATCGCACGCAGAAAGATAGTGAGACAGAACGATTAAGCGTTCGTATGACGTCATATTCGATTTTTTCCGACATCTGTTATTTTGCTTTTTTTGCGCTGGTAGTTTTTTTTGTCTAACGTCATATATATCTCTTACTCGGTAGAATCAATTTTTTTTTGTTCCTCTTGAAAAAGAGTATATATTGCTATCAGAAGCCTGAAGTAAGTATCATTTTTTTTGCCACTTTTTCAAAGGAAAAAAGAGCTGCGTAGTTGTGCGAACCGCGCAATTTCTTGCTTTTATACAAATTTTGGCTTTCAACTTCAATTAACACGCAACTCGAAGCATCGTTTTTGTGAGCTCCATCTCAACATTCAGTCTATGAAAACTACAAAGACTGATCACCATAGCATTTAGTAAATGTATTAAAGACCACACTACAGTAAGCTACAAACACTCATCATTTTCTCTGGAGGTAGAAGATGACGACTACAGACTAAATGACGGTTTAAATAACCAATATAAACTATACAATGGTGACTTTGAAACACCAACACCACAAAGCACTGGACTGCAACAGATCACAACTGAGTGTAAGCCAATTGCTGTTTTTTAGCCTCATGTCACTGTTCACCGACATTTCCGCACTGACACTTCCGCGAAGAACACTTCTGCGCACAGACACTTCCTTATGGAGACATTTTCGTACGTGAAACTATAGTACAGGAATCCATTGAGGTTGTGGACACAGACTGTGGATGTAGATGTATGCTCTTGTACAATACCTACACGCTGCCTTACTCGGATGCGCTTGGGTTGGGGTAAGGTTTAGATCTGAAGATTCATCGTTGGGTGTGGGTCTGCGCGGGTGTGGATGGATATGGGTGTGGGTGTGAGTGTGGGTGTGAGTGTGGATGTGGTTTAAAAAGAACACACCCACACCCACACCTATACTCACACCCCTAGGTTTGCGAGCAGCCAGAAAACCTTTGAGATTCGTACATTCTCGAAATAAAATATCCCAGCAAGTCTCATTGAAATGAAAGCGATAACTTTGAACATTGAAGAGTATCGCAATTTTTTTGACAGATTGTAATGATAAGATGATATCACAGAATACGAAACCATTTGCGATATCTGACAGACCGTTTTTTCTTCTACTTGAGATCTATTTGCATTCAAATTTTCAGATCATTCCATCCACTCTTTCTCTAAAAAACCTCTCGAATAGCCCTTAAAATCTACTATATAACAACAATGTTTAAACATTTTGACTCTCTACAGGACAAGAGTCTTAATCGGGTGAAAAGCTTTATATACCAGAAGATAGAGCAAGCGACGCTCTACAAAATTTGATATGGTACCATTCACCCAAATTCGGGGTGTGGGTGTGGATGCGGATGTGGGTGTGGGTGTGGGTGTGGTGTAGGTCTGGGTGTGGATGTGGG